CGGACCATTAACATCGACATATGCAAGGACTTCCTACTCAAGGCATCCGCAACAACGTTTGCCTTACCAGGATGGTAATTCAAACCGAAATCATAATCCTTTAGAAATTCTAACCATCTCCTCTGCCTCATATTCAACTCTTTCTGATCAAAGAGATACCTCAGACTTTTGTGATCACTGAACACCTCAAACCGAGAACCATATAAATAATGCCTCCACAACTTCAAAATAAACACAACAGCTGCCAACTCCAAATCATGAGTCAGATAATTCCTTTCATGTACTTTCAATTGTCTCGAAGCATAAGCCACCACCTACTTATCTTGCATCAACACACCACCTAATCCCATTAATGATGCGTCACAATACACAACAAAAGACTTAGTCGGATTTGGCAAAATCAAGACCGGAGCACTTGTCAACCTCCTCTTCAGCTCTTGAAATCCTTTCTCACATTCAACATCTCAAACAAACATCTGACCCTTCCTGGTCAACTTAGTCAACGGTAACGCTAATTTGGAAAATCCTTCTATAAACTTCCTGTAATAACCTGCAAGACCCAGAAAACTACGGATCTCAGAAGCATTCTTCGGCGCTTCCCACTGAGATACTGCTTCTACCTTCGTAGGATCCACAACAATTCCATTCTTGGAAATTACATGGCCAAGAAAACTTACTTCACTTAACCAGAATTAACACTTGGACAACTTCGCATAAAGCTTCTTCTCTTTCAACAATTCCAACACAACTCTGAGATGTTCTGCATGCTCTTCATCGCTCTTCGAATAAATTAGAATATCATCAATGAACACCACCACAAACTTATCAAGATACGGATGAAATATCCTGTTCATATACTCCATGAAAACACCAGGTGCATTAGTAACTCCAAACGGCATAACAGAATACTCGTCATGTCCATACCTCGTTCTAAATGCAGTTTTCTGAATATCTTTCGACTTCACACGAATCTGATGATATCCAGATCTCAGATCAATCTTACTAAATACACAAGCTCCAACTAGTTGGTCCATCAAATCATCGATCCTCGGCAAAGGATACCGATTCTTGATTGTAACTTTATTCAGCTGTCTGTAATCAACACATAATCTCATTGAACCTTCTTTCTTCTTAACCAACAACACTGGAGCACCCCACGGTGAAACACTCGGACGAATAAACTTCTTCTCAAACAAATCCTCAAGTTAACTCTTCAACTTTCTCAATCTAGAAGCAAACCTCTTATAGGCATCCTCGAATTCGAACTAGTTCTAGTAACAAAACCCATTAAGACTTCACCTTGCACTCTCACACCGTTCCACTTACTTCATCATGGAACACTTCATAAAAATTACATCCAATAGGTCACATGCCTTTATCTTGCTCTCGCCGAGATCTAAATCTCTCGTTACGCAAACCATAATGCTTCTCTTCTTGCCGACTCAACTAATTTCACACACTGTAAAGCTGGCACAATAAGTATATCCCATCCAACGCGATCCCGACTACCATCAACAAGAGATTAAGGGTGATCAGTTCCTCAATTTGTCAATAGATAGTCAACAATCATGAGGTGGCATCAACCATCGTTACCAAACCACAACAGCATCTTCAATCTTACCCTTCAAGCTACTTAAACATAACCATGCTTGAAGCATCAACTGCTTGGCAATACTTACATCTTACAATCGACGGTATACTGAACCAACCTCTTGCACAAAGCTTCAGAGAAGAAACTTCTCCCCCCACTTATTTCACACGTACCTCTGCAGACAACGAAAAGGAAACAATCAAGTACCGATAATGTTTCACACACATGTCGCATACCAAAAGGGAGTAAACACATAAACAACTTGGTCGATAGACCGACCTGCTCTGATACCACTATTGTAACACCCCTTCTAAATAACCCGCAAATATATTAATTAAATCAGAGTAACATGGAAAACAGGGATGTCACAATTCAAGATAAATATAAAACCTCAAATTTACAGTTGTCATGCTTTACTGAAGGAATTATTAAAATAAATATTCGAATCAACATCATGTTCTACACAGCGGAAATATCTCAAAACCGGAATAACTTCACTTCATAACTATTCCCAACATAAATTAAACAATAGAGTATAAAACAAAACTCATCATTCAAACGTTTCCCCTAGTGTTACAACCTATCAGAGCACGACACTGATACGCAGACTTAAAATAACATAGCTCTAGAGCCATCCTCACCAACTCCTGAGCTGCTAACTTTAATCTGAAATCATTAAAGTAAGGGTGATATTTCTCATAATTAACATGCATTATAAGTTTCTCAATCAACATTATATCACAAGCATATTATTTCACCCATTTTAGCATAAACTCAGATTCAACACACAGTTCCAATCATACAAGTCATTATGCACAAATCAATAATCAACCAAAGAATTGTAACACTGGAAGACATCCTAACATGTTACAATTCCATGCAAACATAAATGCAGACACTATGCATGTGGTACCAACACGTGACCAAGTCACCCATCACTGATCCATCACTCTCGGATACAGCAACCATCGATTCGTCCATCACACTCGGACATGAATCCAGCCGAAGCAATCATCGATTCGTCCATAACACTCGGACACGAATCCAGCCTAACCACCCATCATCTCCCGGGTATCAGTTAACGGCAATACAAGTCAAATTCCACACAATGGGAATTAACTTCACCAAAATAATGCATATGCATGTACATCACTAACATGCAACATCAATCAACAGAAGTATGATCACAACATAATTCCAAATAACGCCAAAGCCAATATATCACATGATCACATCTCAATCATAATGGATAGCAGGCACAACACATAAGTATCAGTTCTCATTCACCAAATCAGAACAACTTACAAACAATTCTACATCATTATCAAAATACCAAAGTTTACAAAAATCGGGAATTCGACTCTTTTTAAAATAATTTTCATAAAATAATATTTTTCTTATTTTATAAGATAGCATTTTAAATTTAAGAAATACTGCCGAAAACGGCACTCAAATCGGACTTACGGTTTGAAAGTTATGAATTTTCAAAGTTTAGTATTTTTCAAAAAGTTACGTTTCTGGAAAATGTACTGGAACTCGGTTCCTACCCATACAGGAACCGGTTCCTACGTTGAAAAAGTCAGTTTCTTCACAAATTTACACTGGGAACCCGGTTCCTCCCCACTGGGAACCGGTTCCTGCGACCTGAAAAGTCAAAAACTGCTATTTTGACAGCATTTACTCATTCCAATCCCATCCAATTCATACCCATACGAATCCAACTCACAGCAGGGTCAAAACAAGTTATGGTGCATGATTCCAATGAGATTATAACACACCATAACATCATACAATTTCCTCATAACCTCAAATTGAATCAAAACATAAATTCATGGGATTGGGGTTTGAATTTCATAAATCCTAAATTGGGATTCCTAACATGCTTAATCAATTCTATTGATCCCAAAATCTATAAGGCATAGTAATTAATCGAAATCACCCCTTACCTCGCGATGATCCTTCGAATTCACGACGTTTGGCTTTTTCCTCTCTTCTCTTCTCTTCTCCACTTTCACGTACAATGACTTCTTTCCAAATAACCTCCTTTTTCTTTTCCTTTTATTATATTTCAAATAATAGAAATAAATTAGTCATTATTTAGTAGAGCTTTTTACTTCACACACCTCTAATTCAACCTTACACCCCCCGATCTTCCTTTTTAATTTCATAATTAATTCATCCATTTAATCCAAAATATTATTAATTAAGCCTTTAATTAATTTAATAATTAAATTCCTAATTATTTAACACTTGAATAAATTTGGGGTGTCACATGATTAATATCATAACTAGTACCGATATGTTCATTCGATTAAGGGGAGTACCGTTCTTTTCCTCAGTTTAAATGTTGCTTCTTCATTGCAGGCAACCAAAGGAGATAGATGGGGGGGGGGGGGGGGGAGGGTGAAAAGAAACAGAGATGTAAAGCGATATAAGAGCAACACTCACAAGACTATGAAAATAACAGAGGACTAAAACACACCTAAAGAAAAGGGGTGAGTGGAGAAAAGGAAAAGGAGAGAGGGAGACGAATCACGGGGTGACAGAGAGAGGAAGATGAATAACAGAGAATATGAGATCAAGCTGAGAAGCAAGATTGAATGAGGAATCTTGGAGTCTCATGTTACGACAGTTTTAACTCCGAATCTTAAAATTTCTCTCAAAACACAACATTGACTTAATATGTTTTTTTACACAAAAAATCTGAGACATAATGATTTTTTTGTCGATAAAAACATAAAAATAAATCTTTATTAATAAATTACTAAAAACAAAAAGAAAACTATTTTGTCTCTTCAATTCACAATTATATTAACCAATCATGTTTTTCTAATTTACCATAATTGACAATTTGAATTATTCTATAGATATCATCTTGGAGGATTTTTAGTAAAGAAAATTAATCCTATAAAATTAACAAAACTATATATATATATATATATATATATATATATATATATATATATATATATATATATATATATATATATATATATATATATATATATATATATATATATACTTTTTAAAAGTGAATGAATATTTTAAAGGAGATACATTGATTGAATCGGTAAAACTTTTTTATATTATCAATATATTATTTATTTATTTTTTAAATGTCTTATTCTTCTTTTTAATATATGAGACTTTATTTAAAATAAAAAAATACAAGTAAATATATTTTCTAAATTACAATTTAAAAAGTAAGTAAAGTGAAAACAGTGGAAGGGGAAAATTGAAGTTTCAAAAAGAAAAAGTATATATATTTTAATTTGTTTTCTTTATCCTAGAATAATTTCCGTGGGATATTGGAGGGAAAGAGATACTTGAATTTTTATTTTATATATCTTAAATACAGTAACGGTTGGGAAGGGAACAGTGAAAGAGAGAAGATCGTGGGCCAAAGAAGATGAGACCTCCCGGCGGAAGCAGCAACGTTCGTCGGCAACCGAAAGAGTCGGCCTACTTACCACCAACTCCACTAAACAGCCACCGTGACTCTGACGCGAGTTTAGCCAGTAGCCGTCCATCCTCCGTCGGAATCCATTCTCTCGACGTTTACAAAGACCGTTCGTACCAACAGAACGCAACCGCAACCATCAATTCATTCCTGGCCTCTCAGGATTTGAATGTCTCTTTCAAACCTTTTTCCTCTCCTTCCGCCAAACACATTCACCAAACCCTAATCTTCCTCGTCGGACTCCTCGATTTCAATATTAACAAAATAGAAGATCTTCCGCCACTTCTCAAATTCATGAATTACCCTCACAAACTCAATAAATCTGTTCTCAAATCCCCCGCTGCACCTCATCAATGGCCTTCCATTCTCGCCCTCATTCATTGGCTTGTTCAGTCTTGTCAAATTCATCTCTCTTTTTCTTCTCCCTCCCACACCACCACTCTCCAAACCAACAACATCGTCTTCCAGTATTCTCTCAACGCTTATCTAAATTTCATTAGAGGTGACGATGAAGCCATCTCCGAACTCGACCACGAAATCCGCACCAGGATTCTCCGTGAGAAGTCTAACGCTGACAAGACCCTTGCTGCCGCCGAACAAAAGGTCTCTGAATTGGAGGCTCAATTGGAGGGATTGAGGTCTGCTCCTTCTCAGAAGGATTTACTCGACAAAGAGAAGGAAATGCTTCAAGGTGATGTCATTAAGTTTCACAAGATTATTGACGAGTTTGGGTTGCGGATTGAGTCGAAAGAGAGGGATTTGGTGGAGAAGGAGAAACAGTTGCAGGCTAAGGCCGTGGAGAGCGACAACATATGTCAAGAGAATAAAATGCTAAAGAAGAAGGTGGAGTCACAGCCTTTCAATACTAGGGACGTTGAGAGGATGAAAAGAGAGTTGCAGGCTGCTGAGAGGGATGCTGGAGAGGCTGAACTTGCTAGGAATGATTGGGAGGAAAAGTGTTGGGAGCTTGACCGTACTCTCGCAAATAACATCAGAGACTTAGAACCTATCACCAGGGATTGCAACCAAGCCCTTAAGAGGTTCTTTTCTTTTCCTCTTGTATTGTATTCTATTGCACCCCATTTGTTTTTTTAGCATAATTGTATCGACTATTTACATCTAAACTAGATAACTTCTGTGCCGATGTTAATAGGGATCAATTATTAAGCAAACTCTTACTTTCATGTGCTTCTAGGTTGAAGATTGGTAATGACATTCAATATGTGTTGAATCCCAAGGGAACCACGCCTGCTGAGATCATGGGTATTGATTACAAAGTCACGCTGAAGCCTGCACTTAACTCATTTGCAGATGACATCAAGAAAAGTACTGTGCTGAAATTGGAAGAGGTGATTGCTCTTCAACAAAAGTCCAATGAAAGTGCTGCTAAGATTGAGGGGAAAAGAAATCAGCTTTCTGCACTACAGTTGCACATCGATCAAGTAAGTGTATTGCGTCTTTCTTAGCACTAATTGTCTGATTTTAATGCTTAGTAAAGGACACAAATCTTGATTTTAACTTTTTGATTGTACAAGTAGGGTATTTAGTTTTGGTAGAGATATTCATTATTGTGTGAATTTGGATAGAGATTTATTACCCATGGTATCAAAGTGGTGCCGGCATGCAGGAGGAGTTAATGCTTAAGATTTTTTTATTCAATAACTTATAGGAGGATAATAATCATCAACACAGAATACTTTGGAACAATTTTACTGCTGCAACTATATGTCAGTAGTAATATCCCAAGCAATAGTTGGGATGCATATAAGAATTAAGATGTTTTAGAATAACAATCATTATATATATGATTTGATTAGTTCAGTATAACTAGCAAAAGTGACAATTAGAGCCTCATGGTTACACAATATCAGAGATTTAGACTCTTTTTCAGTATCTTTGCATTGGATGTGAGACAGTGTAGATTTAGGTATTCGTTGTTACATGAGGGCTTTTGTGCTGGAGGAGGTGACGGTGTGTAACACACACAAGTGCTTTCTTGAAGATTTAATGTGAGGACCGAGGGAATGTGCTTTTCTAGGCACAATAGAGAAGAGATAGAGTAATGTGTTCTTAGAGATGGCAAATCAAAATGTCTTTTTGTGGGAAAAATTGAAGTTGTGTAGTATAAGAAATTAAGAATAAATGATGTAAAAGAGTAAGGAGCTTAATGTGAAAACACCATAAAAAGTTGAAATAAGAGTGTTTTGCTCCAACAAAATACACTTTCATATGGAACCACAAATTGTCAACATTCAGCTCATGTAAAAACTTACCTAAATAGGAGTATAGTAAATAAAAAGATATGAAAAAGGGAAATGTACTTTATAAGTATGGATGGATAAACTATTTATTCAAACCGATAGTACGTAAATTCGATCAATTTCAATGTCATTAACAATGCTTCCAATAAAATTATATTTATGGAACTATTCCATTATCATTATAGAACATCACACTTACAATTACAAAGAGAGAGGAGGGGCATTATGATAATAAATAATCAATATATTAACTCTTCTAGCATTCAACAGAAAAGTAATTAACTTAAATAAGTTTTGTTGATTGTTGTTGCGGTATATAACGGCAAGCAAAAAGTAAAATATTATTTTTACTGGGTGATATAGGTTATATTGTATCGTGTTCACAGAGATTGATTATTGAATTGCCGTTCGACAAATTCTTGCATTTATGAGTTTGATTTGATTTGGTTTGTAAAGAAAATATTATCAATAGAAAATAAATGTAAATAAAAGTAAAAACTAAGGTAGAATTTATCAAGCCTGCATATAATCTACTCATCACAGACTTAAATCTATCGACCAGTTACATTCAACCTAACAATACTCATCAATGTCACTACGTATCACTCACAACATAAGTCATTTCTAACCCAAATCGAGAGACTGACTGTACCACTAAGGAAATGATCTCTCTACCTCCTCAACAACACAGAAGACAACTATGTAATAGTCTTGACGATCTCTCAGCACAACACAACCACACAGAGGCATC